CTGCAATCTGTATATGGGGTAAAAATGGGAGTTCATAACCCACTTGAATCAAAGTGTGAAATATGATATATCAAGAACTATGTAATGTTTTGAACAGCCAACAATAAAAATAAATAAATAAATAAATAAATAAATAATGCAGAGAGAAGACAGAAAGTTTTAGAAGCTGGCGAGCAGATGCACAGAGCCCTGGAGCTGGTCACTGCCTTGGGTCGGCTGGGAGGAGCGCTGGAAGGCCCCTGGGGGCTCCTCACACACTGGAGGGAGCGGAAAGCGGGGCACCAAGGAAATCTAGAAAAGCCGGATCACACAGATCCTAGAGCTCAGCAGCCCCACTCCTAGGTATATATCAACAACACGTGGACCCACGTTCAACAAGACTCCTCGAGAACACTCGTGGATGTTTTATACCTAACAGTCCCCAATTTCGAAATTGTCCAAATATCCAACAACTAAAAAATAAAATGTGACATGTTCATGAAGAAGCAGAAGCTAACTACACAAGAGGAAGCTAGCCCTGAGCAACAGAGAGCAGGCGTGAATGAGCACCTGCCACCACTGGGTTCCATGTCCATGAAATTTAACATCAAGCCAAACTCAGACGTGCGTCGTGGGCAACTTCCAACATGGCGCCCGATGATCGCGCTTCGGGGTTTCACGGCCTGGGGGTGCCCTCCCTGTGAGCGTGGGCTGATTTAGTGAGCAGACTGAGGCAAAGGATGCACGTCACCTCCAGAGTTAGGTCGCAAAGTCTCTGGCCTTCCCTTCTCCGTCTTTCCTTTGTTCATTCTGAAGACAGCCAGCTGCCACACGGTAGCCATGCACAAGGCAAGAACCAGGGCCGTCTCTGGCCTGCAGCAGCCAAGAGCAGGGGCAACAGTCTGACAGTCTGCAAGAAACCGAACCCTCAGCACCACCCTCTGCCCCAGTGGGGCCAGGAGATGCCCCCACCTGGACCAACACCTTGGTTCAGCCTGGGAGAGGCCTGAGCCACGGACCCAGCCACACTTGCATTCCTGACCCACAGGAAGAGGAGAAGACAAATGTTGGTTGTTTCAAGATGCAGGCTGAGCGCTGGGTAAGTTTTTCTGCAGCCATAGATAACGAACACAGATTTAAGGACCGGAGCAGAGTGTCAGTATAACATTTACCTAAAAATGTGGAAGTGGTGGAAGTGGCTTTGGAACCGGGGAGAGGAGGTCGGGAGAATTTCAAGGACATGACAGGTGGCCTTGAGCAGACTGTTACAGAGATGTAGACTTTGGGGACACTGCCTGTGAGCTCTCGAAAGGAAATGAGGCAATGAAGGAAGGGGACCCAGGCTACGCAGCAGCAGAGGCTCCGCGCTGTCTTCTGCAGCCCTGGGGAAAACCCCATGGGCTGGGTCTAGCTCAGGAGGTCTCCCACAAAGTGTGGAAGGAACTGCCAGGTTCTTCTCACATGGGAGAGACTAATGGGGAGAAGAACCGTGAAATCAGAAAGAACCAGGCCAGGTGGGGTGGTGGACGCCTGCAATCCCAGAGACTCGGAGGCTGAGGCAGGAGGCCTGCAAGTTTGAGGCCAGCCTAAGCAACTTCGCAAGGGCCTAAGCAACTTGTGAGACTCTCCCTCACAAAAGGGCTGCAGGATGCGGTTCAGTGGCTGAGTGACCCTTAGGTACCAAAACAAACAAATAACCACAAAAAATATAAATAACAACTCATATCATGTACGACCACAAGAATGGGATCAAAATTGGAATGGGTTGCACTCCATGTAGGTAAAATGTGTCACAACACACCCTACTGTCACGTATACCTAAAAACACTAAGTGGAAAAAGAAAGAAAGAAAAGAACTGGGACATTTGAAGAGCTTGGGAATTCACAGCTCTCCAAAAGCAAAAGATCCAAATTAAGGAATGGCTTCAGAGCCCCTCTCAAATTCAGGATATTGCCAGATAAATAACTCCTGATTCTCCAAGAGTGTGATCCCACAGACTTTGTTAGAATCCATAAAGATGAGGGCGGTGCCTCCAAGCCCTAGTCAGTCCTAAAGAGAAAGAAATCCTCTGAAGAGCTTCCCGTCAGCGGTGCCCTCAATCAAGCAGCAGGACGCAGGAAGTTCAAGGTGCACTTCACAGGGGGGAGGAGGGCTCACCTGGGAGAAATGGGTGGGGTCTTTCCTGTGAGGCAGTGAACCCCGCCCAGTGAGCTTCCCAGGAGGCCACAGGGTTTGGAGGGGACTACTTTAGCAGAACCCTGGCAGCTCAGATGGCCTGGCCCAAAGGCACGGGAACGGAAGGCAGGGAGCCCCAGATCTGGCCACACAAGCAAGGCCTCCCGCCTGAGAGGATGGAGAGGCGCAGGAAGGGCCGGCCGAGGTGGAGCCGAGAGCCAGGAGACCTGTCCCTGGGTTAGGCTCCCCAGGCCTTCAGACCAGAGGCCCCAGCAGGGCACCTCCCACCCCAGCCCAGCCCAGCCACCCCAACAGTGGTGAGGCCCGTGCTCCCCCTCCCACACCCCGCCCACCCCCTCTCTACCACCTCTTCTCTCTCATGAGAGCTGGGGAGCAGGGCCCAGCTGCCCACCTGCCGTGTCCTCCTAAATCCCACAGCCAGAGGGACCCGTGTGTGCTCCCGCTCCTCCTCCCCCAAGTTTTGTGGGACTGCCACCTGTTTCGCACCAGAGGACAGACCTCAGACCCCTGTAAGCTCACTGCACCTCTGTGAGGTGGGAGCTTCGGGATAAATAAGGCTTCATGGGTAAGGCTGTCTGTCACCTCAGGCCACATGGCTGGGACATGCAGGAGGCAGGGCTGCAACACTGCTCCACTCCTCTGCCCCCTCCCAACCCCAAGTCAAAGCCAGCCTCTGTGTACATGGTCCTGGCACCCCACACGTGAAACCCCAATACCCCCAGGTGTGCGAGGCACAGCATTCCCAGGTGTGCGAGGCCCCGGCACCCGTAGGTGCACAAGGCATTTTTGTTGGGATTCTCACTTGCCCTTATGCACACCCCTCAAGGCCACCGATGGTTAGGTCATCCCCACTGCATGTTTGAGGAAACCGAGTCTCAAGAAGCAACCTGGCCTGCCCATGGCCACACTGCTGAGAGTGTGGGTGACCGTGTGTCTGAGACGACATCCGTTCCTGGCCTGGCCTTTCACCGTCCAGTCTTCTCACTAATCAAGCCAGGAGCCCCTCCTGTGGACCCTTCTGACGGGGGTGGGGGGAGACTAGGGGCAAGGACAGAATTGGCACCACTCACCTGAGCTATCAAGTCTCCGTTTTCCGCGTGGACCAAGATCAGAGCTCCCAGCCCCTTGAGGAAGGTGAAGGCTTCGTAGAGCTGAGGAGGGACACGAGGGGTGGGTGTGAGAAGGGAGCACTACGCGTACAGTGGTCCGCGGCAGCAGGGGTGCTCCACTCCCCACTCGAGGAGAGGCGCTTCCCTTGGCCCTGACGCCTTCCAGACCCAAAAGCAGGAGCTGGGGTGAGGCAGAAGCTACGGCCTGGGGACACCCCTGGTCTCCTGCCTTGGGCCTCCTCCCGGCTGGCCCCTTGGGCTGCCTGTGCTCCTGGGGACAGCTGGTACAGGGCAGTCCTCTTTGGTTTCACGGCGACTGTGTACCTGAGCCTGCTCAGCCTGTGCCACAGGAGATGTGTGATTCTTTTCAAAAACTCCAGCACCTGCCGTGCGGGGAGGGAACTCTGAACTCTGACAACAGAGGCTGGGCCAGCATCGTGCCAGTCCACCAGGGAGGCCTTGCCCCTGCCTGACATCTCCCTACCCAAGAAGAGCCCGCCCTGCTGAGGATCAAGACCACCAAGCTCCCTCTCCAAGACACCTGAATCTCAACTCTGTTCTCCATGAACAAGACAACACCCAGGAGTACCCTTGTGGATTCAGACAGCAGGTGAGGGGGACTCCTGGGGGCTTGAGGGGCTTTTGAGGACCCTGGTCCAGAGGCCACAGGACTCCATCCATGCCCAGGGCTTCAGTGGAACCAGTGTTGGACAGAAACAGCTGAGAATCAGCTACCTGGTGCGTCACGTGCCCCTCTTTCCACGACAGAACCAACCTTCAGCTTTCGGAACACCCTCTGCAGGCTGCAAAGGCCGCCGGGCATCCTGGGCAAGTTACTTTTCTAACCCCCCACGTGCTTATTTGAAGCCTGTTGTCCATCTAGCTCCAGGGCAATAAGGAGCGATCACCTCCCAACACCTGGGTCGTGCCGTTGTGCGTCAGGCACTGTCCTGGCAGTTCTCCTGTCTGCATCACTCAATCCTCCACAATCTCCACCAGGCAGGTGCTATTATGAGCTTGAAGCCCAGAGAGGCTGGGAAAGTGGCTCCAGGCTGCACAGCAAGGGCCAGGCTGGCTCTACCGTCCATGGCTCCCTGTGCCACACTAGCACGCAGGGAAGAGGGAAAGGAGAGGAAACCAAGCCAAGAGATCCCGCAGTGAGGAAGACAAGGTGGCTGGTAAGCAGTCCCCTGTCCCTGCAAACAGCTCGCGGCAGCACCCCGCTCTGTTGCTGGCACCCACGTAATGACAGAAACCGGCAGGCCTGAGGCTTTGCATCTTCTGGATGAGAAAACTGAAACGAAGTGACGTGCCCAACATCTTGGGTTGGCTTGAGGGAAGCCAGGGCCAGTGCCATCATCCCCAACCTTCCTCAAGCCAGCGCCAGCCAGGAGCTTCCAGGAAGCACATTTCCCGAGCCCCTCTGCCCGTGCGCCCAGCTCTGCAGGCTAATGGCACTGAGATGCGCCAATATGAGGAACCATCGACCAGGGCTCCTGTTCCACTCCAGAGTCAGAAAGGAACCCAGACCTGAGGGGCGATTGCACTTAGTGCCACCAGCAGGGCCTGAGCCCCGGCCTCCCTGCCAGCCCTGACTCCTCTGTCCTGTGCCAGGTGACAGGCTGGGGTGGCCCAGAGCTGCCAGGTGAAGAGGAGTGGGGCCTACCTGGCTGTCGGACATCTGGTAGAGGTCCTTATACGCCATGTAGACTTGGAAGGAGTTGACACCTGTTACAAGATAAGAAGGAAGAGAGAAAACGCATGTCGAAGAGAAAGAAGCAAGCTCTCCCACTAAACCACGATCCCCCGCGCAGCGGAAGCTGTCAGAGAGAAGCCGCCACGGGGACCCCTGTGAGGGCGGCCAACAGGGAGCCGAGCGTGCAGGTGAAGGAAGGGACAGGGAGGCAGGGGAGGGGGCAGAGAGAATGAGACCTCCAGACATTAGAAGTAGCAATGCAGTAAAGCAGAAATTATGAATTAGTAAGCTGTGGCCAAATTAACTCCTATACCCTGGCACTTGTTCCCAGAGCAGGGATATAGGGCAGCGCTGTCTTAGGTTAGAAATCACCACTAAAAAGTCGAGGTAGGTTTGACTCGTTACAAATGGGAACCTACACGTTAGTTAATTCTTAAATACTTCAAAATAAAATAACAAAGAACCAACATGATAAATATACCAGCAACAAATTTAACAGCTTTTTAAAATCAAGAGACAGTGGTTACTTTGGGGGAAGGAGACGTCACTGCAAGGAGGAAGGAAAGAGCCTATGGGACGGCTGGCAGAGCCCCATTTGTCTGGGGTGGGTGAGCTCGGAGCAATTCGTAAACACGTGTTTCATCTATCTATTCTATTAAAAAAGACCAAAACAAAAGCAAAGGAGCCAAAAAACAAAATCCAAAAGCAAACTGTTATTTTTGGACATTTTAAGAAGAAAGCTCATGCCTGACTAATAAAGAAAAGATTCGGTTCTCAACCAAACCTCCAGAATCCACCAAAGCCAGCTCTGCTCCAGGCTCCGTGAGGGCTCAGCTCTGAGGCAGCAGGAGCTCCTCTGGGCGGTCAGCTCGCTCACCCGCCCTCCAGTTCTCCTTTCCTCCTCTCCTAGCCACACAGTAACCCTGGCAACAGCCACCTTCACGCCATGTGACCCTGAATCACATCCAGGGCTGAGTACCTGGCAGACGCTAGGCTGAGCCAGGAGGGACTGGACACCAAGGACACCTGGATGACCTCTAACACGGATACAAAGCAGGGGCCAAGCCAAGAGAGGTCCAGGGGACAGGAAGGGCACAAGCTGGCTCATGGAGGAGGACGAGACAAGCAGGGAGGAGAGGCCTCGGCACAGGGTCCTGGGCCCGTCTCCAGCACTGAGGCAAACCTGCTCCCCCGGGCCCAGCGCAGCTCCAGGAGGACCTGCTGTCTCTGGGACACACTGGACTCTCCAGCAGTACCCCAGTCTCCCTCCCACAGGTCTTCCTGCAGCTTTTGACAAGATCATGTGCATCAAGACACTCAAGAGGAGAAGCAGGAGCATCTCCCCCAGGGGTCCCGGAGCCTTCTCCAGGGAGTGCTTATGTTCTCACCCAGCACATCGCTACTGAGTACCTCTGTGTGCATTCTAGAGCTAGACACTCCTGTGGACAGGCAGGCTGGGCCTGTCCGCCTTCTGGTGGGAATGATGGGCAAGGGGCAACTACATCGATGATCCTGCCAGGCAGAGACGTCAAGTCTGTCATGTCTTGGGAACTCACACAGCTTTCACGGCAACTCCCATCGAGAATCAGATCTACCTCCCACCCTAGAACCTGGGTGGTCGCACGACTTGCTCTGACCCACTTCACGAGTTCCTGGCACAGGCCACAAGGACTAGCCACTGGCCCAGCTGCCCCAGCAGAGGCCGAGGCACAAACAAGACAGGTGTGAACAGCAGAACTGTCCAACTGAGCCCCAACCAATGTGCCCACCCACGGAGCTGGGAGCAAATGAACAATAATTGCTGCCTTTCATTACCTGTGGTACCGCTGTGGTTTGGAGGTGAGGTGTCTCCCAAAAGCTCAGGTGTTAGGCAATGCAGGAATGCGGCTGAAATGATTAGGTTATGAAAGCTGCCTCACCAGTGGATTGATCCATTTAGTGGATTAATCATCTGAATGGACTTCTGGGTGGTAACTGTAGGCAGGTGGAGTGTGGCTGGAGAAAGGAGGTCACTGGGGCATGTCCACGAGGATTACATTTTGCGCCTGGATCCCTGTCCCTCTCTACTTCTTGGCTGCCCTGAGCTGAGCCGCTTTGCTCCACCACGCCCTTCCGCCATGATGTTCGCCTCACCTCACCCAGAGTAACGGAGTCAGCCAGCCATGGACTGAGCCTTGACACTGTGAGCCCGAGGGACCTTCTCCTCCTCTAACTTGTTGGGTCAGGCACTTTGACTTCAGGGGAAAGAGCAGAGTGACACAGATATAGCAAAAAAGCAAAAGTCACCATCTTAACCATCTGAACATGGTTAAGTGCTGTTGAGGGGCATTAAGGATACACAGTCCTGTGCAGCCATCATCACCATCCACCTCAGGAACTCTCTCAGCTGTCCCCGTTAAACACTAGCTCCCCATCTCCCTCCCTCTAGCCCCTCTCATTCATTCCCATCTCTGTGAATTCAACTACTTTAGGTGCTTCCCATAAATAGGATCCTGTGATATTTGCCCGCGTGACTGCATCATCTCACTGGGTGTAATGCTCTCCACTGCTCGTCCAGGCTGCAGCACGTATCAAAATCCCCTTTAAGGCTGCGCAATATTCCTCCACACAGTGTGAACATTTTGCTCATCCATTCACCGGCTGCTCCTACCTCTTGACCGTCGTGAACAATGCTGCTACGAACATGGACGTACAAGTATCTCTGAGCGTCTGCTTTCAGTTCTTTAGGGTACCTATCCAGAGGCAGAACTGCTGGATCACACGGTGACTTTATTTTTAACATTCTGGGGACTCACGTACTGTTTTCCGCAGAGGCTGTACCATTCTACATCCCTCCGCAGGTGCACAAAGGGTCTCATTTCGACACCTGTCATTCTTCGGTGTTTTTTTAATATTGCACCTGCCCTGAGCGTGACGTGGTGTCTCACAAAACGTGGTTTTGCAGTTGCAGCGTTTATAATGCAGACTCGCTGTACAGAAGCTGGTGCCTAGGCTGCGTCTTGTGGTGGCCAGAACCTAAAACATGTGGCAGTGGTTTGGGGACGGCTGGTGGGAGGGACACAGAAGAGTGACAGGAACTACTGGCAAAGACTGGAGAAAAGCAAATGAATCATGAGCAGAGTGAATGGGGGTGGCCTGGACTAGGGAGCAGCAAACTGGAAACATCGCGGGGGGGGGGGGGGGGGGGGGGGGGGGGGGGGGGCGTGGATAAAACGTCCCCAGGGTAATAGAACGCACTGTGAGTCTAGCTAAGATGGTTTTCAGGAATCATGTTTAAAGCGTCACAGGGTTTCTGTAAGCTGTGCACGACGAGGTTCAAGGCAACGGCGATGAAAGGGGACCAGGGTGAGGAAGACAGAGGGAGCGTTCCGTCTGCAGGATTCGGGGGCCATGCAGGAGGCCCACAGAGGCTGAGCTGGACTCAGGACTGCTTCCCGTCTCTGCCCCACCAACCCACAGGCAATTCCCAGAAGTGCAAAATGTCTTCAGGGTCAAGTTCCTCACTTCAAGGGTGCAGCTACAGAGCAGCTGGCAAGCTTCCTCCGCTAGACAAAAGGGCTTCCAAGACTCCGACAGATCCTGTCGGCACGGTGGCCGTCACCTAAAACAGACTGGACTCCAAAACCATCTCCCCAATGCAGTGGATTAGAATCATACCTTGGAAACCCACAGAGTTTTTAAGAAGGTTGTATCACCTTCTAAAAGACACTGGGACGGGTCAAAAGGAAAGAGGCCTCTGGGCTGCCAACCTTCTGTGGGTACAAAAGGCTGGGACAGCGGCAGATAGGGCGCAACAGAGTGAGGTCGCGGTGGAGGCTGCCTCTGCAGGACAAAGGCCAGAGTCAGGCAGCGCCTAGGACCCGCCGGGCTGGCAACTGTTTTAAGCCTTGGGGTCGCAGACGGTCTCTGCCACGTATTTTTGTTATTGTTTGATTGTTTTGCTTTATTTAAAAACCTTTAAGAATGTGAAAGACATGCCCAGTTTCAGGGCAGTGCAATGGCAGTCCATGGCCAGATTTGACCCCCGGGCTGTACAAAATTTTGTTGGTCTCTAAACTTGGGCACTTCTCCCAAGGAGGACAGCTGGGCCCCGGGGGAGGAACTTCTCAAAATAGAGTGGAATAGGTGGACTGAGCAGTATGTGCCCAGCTGGATTCCAGAATGTCTACCCATCATGGCAAAAGGGGCCCCCATTTTTTCCCCTTTCTAAGTAAAATCATTCAGCATGCCTAGCCTGTCCCTGTCCACCAGTGCACGGTGGCTGTGAGTAAGGTACAGGCTCTGAATCAAGAGCAGCCACACCCCAGGAGCTCCATGGCAGCCTCTGGAAATGACAAGGTCGGGGATCTGGATCTTGTGCCATCACTGGATGACACTTCTGGGTTGCTGGAGGGCAAGAGCATTCTGCACCTGAGAGGTACACAGAATAGCATGGCTGCGGCCCTGCCCTGTGGTAGACGAGATGCCATCATTCTCAGGTGCTTTCTGTCAGGAGGCGAATCCCTCCTCCCACCCCGCTAACCTGGGCGGCTCTTGTGACTTGCTCTAACCACTGCAGTGCTGCCTGAGCCCCAGCTGAAGCTGCAAGGGCCCTTCAGCCTCTCTGCCTGCTCTTTTGGAACACTGCCCGCTGGGAAGGAGTCCTAGAGGGCCACTGGAAGATGAGAGATGGTGCATGGAGCCACCCAGCAGTCCCAGGTGAGATGCAAATGCTCACGTGAGCCTGGGCAAGATACGAAAAGCTGCTCAACGGAGCCCAAACTGCCAATCAACAGAATATTAGCGACTGCTGTCTTAATCCTGAGATTCGGGGTAGGTTATTACACAGCAAGGCTAGCTGATACACAGAGCAGCATGATAAACAATGAGAATCCCCAAAGAAAGATCCAGGAGGTTCATGCCAAAGAGCATGATACCACTGCCCTTGCACTGCTGCTCCCAATAAGCAAGTATCTGGCCCCTAGGAGGCTCCCAGGCACCACGAGTTCCTTTCCTCTTTACTACAACTTGCTTCTTCACCTCTTAATGACTT